TTTTTTTTCTTTTTTTTTCTTTTTTATTTTACTTCCTTTTATTGAATATACAAAGATACAATTTTCAGGAAGGGGGAAGCGGCCAATCAGAGGGCTGCCATACAACACACAAACGGGGAATCAGGCGGTGGTGGTGTGATTCGAACACTCGTCCTCCGCGGTGATAATTGGTGACGTTACCACCGGGCCACCACTGCCCGATATGAACGTTTGGATAAGCCACAATGAGAGAAAACTCAAAAAAACAATTTTCGGTTGACGACGTTTCGACCCTCTTGGAAGGCCTTTTTCAAATCAATTAACAAGCAAACATTATACAAAAACTGTGAGGGAAACAGAATCAGTTGGAGGTGCTTTTGATAAATTGGTTGGTTTTCTCTCGTTGTGGCTTATCCAAACATTCCTAAACGGATCTAACAATAGTCGATTCTTTACAAGATTGGCATCTGATAGATGCAGTGATGCGTAGAGAACCCCTAGCTCTACTTTAAGCAGTATCTACTAGAAATAGAGAATCAATGGAATTCCAGGGTGTCACAATGCGATGTGTCAGTCAGGACTCACTGATCAAGTGGAATGCAGCTCATTCTTGATGAGCTACCCATGATAATTGGTGACATGAGTTGGGTTGATTCCAACTTTTCAGCTTTCGCCTTTTGAAAGTTTATCATAGTCCAACGGACACTGTGTTTTGGGATTGAAAAGCCCACCGAGGCACATGAGCAGCTTGGAACAAACCAATGCTTGACTGGATTAGCGAGTAGTGTTCTGATACGATCGGCCAACTTTTGATAATATGGTTGCACTGGGTCTGGCACTGACTCAAGGGGAACAAATACCAGGTGGCGTATCAGGAATACGAATGCCTGAAGCTATTGCTGGCGACAGATAGGTGGTTATCAGAACACAAAGTGAACAGGTATCCATAAAGACCTCCCAAAACGAGAAGCTGCCACATCAGGGTCCCCAAACAGACGTAAATGAAAACTCACTGGCTGGTTACATAGCGAAGCCAAACGATCAATGAATCTGTTTTACTGGATGCCCATTTGCTGGATTCAGCAAACGTCAGTCACTAGGGTCTGGAGTGTACAGACTAAACACGTCTATGTTTTACGCACCAGGGTTGGCATGTTAAGTGTGTCTAGCTTGAAGGAGAGCGACCATCTGTGGATGAGGAGGAGTTCGAAGAGTAACAGGATGCACGAGAAAAGGGGTAGAATATCCGTGAGAGAAACTACTGCAGGTGTAGTAAACTGACGAATGTAAACATGTCTGAGTTTAACGCAGTTCAATGAAGAGGGCTTTAGAGAAGCACAAATGTATATACAGTGTTGCAATCATTGATTGCTGGTAAAAGTATGAGCTCCTAGATAAGAAAAGGCTCGTAGTTGTTTGTGCTGTTGTATATTATAGTATTCGGTCACCCGGTTCAGATTTGATCGTGTTCAACGATGAACTCTAGTCATGGCGTTACCAGTTGCGAATTTCGAGAGGTAACTGCTTTGTTCCCGATGATTCGGTGGTCAGTTATACGGTTCATTCAACTCTCATAGAGGATCCCATCGGATTAATTCGCTTCTATACAGGACAATAACCGTGTCCAGTGACGGGCAACTTTACTAAATCATATCACTGTTCATCGATACATGTGGTGTTATGTGAGGAGTTCCGTTGAGAGTTGGCAAACGTGTTACAACCTGGAGTTTTACCGTTTATTCAGTTCAATGAGCCCAGGCAACCTTATATTTACGGTTAACCGCCGGTTAGCAGTCCTACCCCTATCCGTGACCTAGATAGTCTCTCTGTAGCATACACTTCTGCTCTTCTGGATTTAAAAATATATATTGTTAAACAAAGATGAATTTAAAATACCACCGTAACTGTGAGCGGTCTGTTGCAACAGAAAACCTATCAATCTTGCCAGCAGTAACAGACCATCGTCAAACTATCACTTCCACTTTTAATGGCCATATGATAAACGGGGGAATGATTTATGTTTGAACTTCAGGTGATCAGGTAAATTTAACAATATCAGGATAGGACATAAGAACGAGCATTCCCAATTTGCAGTATAGCGTCAGAAGAATGGTGGATAAATCACGGTTCAGAATTTGTTTATCTTTGCTTGTAGCCGATGATTCGATTTCTGATTACATTATGCGATCAACTCACATATAATTTGCCCCGAATACCTGATTTGAGTCCAAAAGCGGTAGGACGTTTCGTGTGCAAAAAGACAGGGAAATTGACCAATCATCGTGCGATGTTCACTGGTATGTGAGAAACCACTTCGTACTGTCAGATTGATTAAAAGCAACAATATTATCGTTCAATTAAATGACTCACTTCTCGGTCATGGATATGCAATCGACTGTTGTCGTGAAGTTATGAATGAGAACTGAGGGTGCCTGCAAACGAGACGCTTCTCCGTACAGTGGATGAATTCAATAGACAATTTCGCGTGTTCTTATTGTTTAACATCAACTTTGATCTGAATAGGATTTAATGGATTTAATTTCTTGGAAGTCAGTTATTAGCCCAGCTACTTCATAAACTGGATTATCAAGTGAAATCGTGGATTAAGAGTAGCAACTTTAGAATAAACCAGTGGAACGGGGTGCTGATCGTATTGCTCAGCGGTAAGGGTTTGAAGTCCCGACCCGATTGTTTGCCGTTCGAGCCCTGATAAAGAGAGCTATAAACGACTGCGTCATCATTTCGAAGGCTTTTTCGCATGGTATGTTACAGTCCGGACTGGAATCGTGAACCCTTGGGTTAGAATATATAGATACTATGCTTTGTGAAACCCCATGAATCAATGAAGAACATATGAAATTACTCGTTTTAACAGTCCGCTAAAATTGTTGGCGCTCTATCCGTGTAGCTGAGCTGCGAGAATTCCGAGTGTCAACCAATGTGGGTTCGAGTTCCGCAGGAGGGTCCATTCGGTAAAATAATTTGAACGTCAAATCGTATCGCTTTCTATTCGACGAGATGTTACCGCCAACTCTACGAAAAAGATAAATTAATGCTTTCTCAAAACTAAATTCTCTCGTCATTCTGGATAACACCGAGAAGGCCTGCTGATATGCCGTTGTGAAAGTAAACCCGCATTAAGTGGATTGTTGAAATCATGCACCCCAGCATTTTGGACTCATAAATTAAGGTGCAGTAAATCAGGTGAGGTTGCTAATTTGTTGATACCTAAAAACAATTTGAACAAATATGGTGTTATCAAGACTTGTTGTGATTAAATTTAAGCTTTGAAAACAATTCATTTCCAACATTATCGGTTTTCTCTATTCGCATGCGTGTTAAACTGCTTGCAATTGAAAGCACGCTTATAAGTCAGTGCCCAACACCTAGGTTTCGAACCAGGTTTCCCATCGTAAGTAACCTCTATCAAGATAAGCTTTATGGTGAAATAGAATTTGAAATGTTTAACGGAATCGCTACCCGTATCCCGTTGTCATCCAATTTGATGACACTCTACATCATGTATTGGGCCAAGGTGAGCCTGATTAACGGTAGAGCAATTCCCATTGTTAATGTTCCTATTCAGGTCCCCGGTTCACAATGTCCCTTTCCAAGATGATCGCAAAACAGTAAATGACTTTGCTCTAGCGTCCTCTTTACGCATACGACCTAATGTTTAGTATCATTAGTAATTCCGTTTTTTTAGGAAATTACTTCCTGTTTCAATCACAGTTCATTTATTCATTTCAATTTGTTCTATGAAAATGTAACCAGCTTGCTTGGAGCAAAAGTGAGTTCAACTGGAATTCGGCGACGTGCATTCTCATTTTGTCTTGCCTGTAGGTCTGGGCACCCGCTGACTATGTTCGCAATCCTTAAAGTGGGCTTTTCACCAGATAAATTCTTCATCAACTTTTTATCATATTAGGAAGGAGAAAGAAGTAAGGAACCCTGCAGCCCGAATAGCTATACTCTACACTGTGATCAGGCTAAACAATTAAGGTATCCTATAAACCGATATTGCAAACTATCTGAAACTGTTCTCGGTATTCTTTCACCAATGACCAACCATCACTATACTCGCAGACGCGTATCCCCACCCAGTAGACTGAAGTCCAAGTGGAAAACAAAAGATGAAAAAAAATTAAAAGCTTTCTTGAATCAACATTTATTTGTACACTTTCACAAATTGTTATCATTAACTTATGTGCTGACACAGTTGTATATGATAATTACATGTACAGCATAAAATGTGTTTCACAAAATTGTCCCGTTTGTGGACAAACCATCACAAACAGCATTATTTCAAACACTTGGCAAAAATACATTGGGTAAAGGGGTTCAAAAACATTGTACATTCAATCCAAACGCTCAAGCGAAAAACAACAACAATAACACACGGCGAGTGGCTATCGAGAATAAAAATCAAAATGCATTGCAAAGGATGTTTGAAGTGTTTAAATTGACTGGTTTCTTTGTCTGTGTTCAACTTTCTGCGGCGTCAGGCACAGGATTGCACTCACATATGTGTGAATCAGTCAGNAGAGGACCTTTTCACGAGGAGATAAATGCACAGGTCCCGGGCTTTTTCCGGTCTCACTCCTAACTGACTCCAATCGCATATGGAAGACTGTGGTGCCACGTAACCACCACAGCGCATTCTCGTATAGCCCAATCCGGTTAAGAAGGAGTCCTTCAGCAGCAAATATAGGAATAGAGAGAGAAAGAGGGAGAGGGAAAGGGACAACTCAATAAACTGAGTACATTTCAATCGTTTGAGTATAGCATCATAGCACAATTGTGAGAAAAAACAATACCCGGTAGCCGTCAACCTCAGTTGCGGTGATTCACTACAGTATCGTGTTGATGAATCGTCACAACCGGGCTTGTTCGCTACTGGGATTTCTTTTCTTCTTACTACAAGTAAATTTCCCTACCAACCTGATCACCCCATCAATTTCGTTCGAACGCACACAGAATTTTCGATCCAAGTGAGACCAACAAAAGAACCAACCAACTCATCAAAAACTCACCATCAATGTCTGATCCTCCCAGAGCAAATGATATGCCCCTGGTTCACTCATTTCGCGAAATCGTTTTGTCGTTTCTTCAACCAGTTTCTGATTGATTTCCAATGTGGCGGAAGTGCGTAGAGTGGAGACGAACGCATGAGCGGTTTTGTTTAAGTGATTCACCTCCCGCACATGTTCATAGCACTCGCGTACAAAAGCCAACACTTTTGTGATATTCCCCGGTGCATACATGGTTGTCAACGCGGGAATAGGCAAAGCCATATTGGCGCCGTACAATTCGGAGTGGTTCGAGCCTTGCTCAACCGCCACCTGGGAAAAAGAGAAGAGCGTAAAAGGATAAGAATAAACTCATTCGAACAGGCCTGATAAATGAAAGGTGGATGAAAGATAGAGTTACTATTCATATTAAAAATGGTCAAATCACATGGGAACTATGTAAATACGAACGAAACTTACTACTGACAGGTTAGGTTCAACTTGCATCCATGCAAAGTACATGTGCGTGTAGTACAGGAAGTAGGCAATATTCAAATCGTGCACTTGTGGCTCGTTGTGCATCGTTTCCCGTGTGAAATAATGCACCAAATGGTAAAACGGAACTTCATTTGAGTTGATCAGAACGATGTGCTTGTCACTGCGACCTACTAATCCCACGTTCTCCGATTCCGTCATCCCCAAATCCGTGTACGGCCTGGTGGTCACCATGGGCTGAGCTAGACTGCACACGAGCATCGTGATCAGCGTGCGCGTATACCAGTAAAGCATGTTTTGTTTGTGATTTCAAGTGACTGCAGTTATGGTTCGGTGGCAGAATATGGTAGGTTCAAGTCAGGCGCCGATCGGTTGTATACGATTACTATCGTGAGCTCAACTTAACAGTCGTATTGTTGTCTGAATTGAATTCACTGTTTTCCTTTTATACTGCGCCAGTTATGCTACGCATGACCGACAGCATTGTATATTTCGGGCAGCGTGACCCTGTGTGTATGTATGTGCGTGTTTATGCGTATCTTTAGAGTGTATATTTGTGTGCGTGCCTATGTGTGTGTATGTGCGCGTGCGCGTGGGGTTGTGTGTATGTGATGCCGTGAGTTTGCTAATGAGGCTGAGCGGAAGGGTAGAAGAGAATGTGCTAAATAATAGTAAAGCGAGGTGGTAACTTCGGAAGTCATGAGTGTTTTTGTACACTAATGTATATGCGCATGCACGCACACACACATACACACACGCACACACGTGCTAGTGTGCGTTTGTTTTTGCACCTCGGAGCTTTCGGTATTATGCCCCTTCTGTCTAGAACAGAAAAGTCCCGGGCTCGGACATCGGTACGTACGAAAACGAGTGCACCTTGACCACTGAATGGTCACTGTTTGACCCGTCCGACTTCCGGGCACAAATGAGATGCGCATACGCACCCACTCCCCACTCCTCCGCTCCCACACACACACATTCACACTAGGTCACACGTTAGTTGGGTTTGGTCACAGGGTTTGCGCCCGCGGAAGCGTAAGTGACCGCACGGGCGATCATCGAATGGAATTAGGAATTTTTGGCTCATTTACTCGCATAGATTAGTATACACCGATTGCTGTGAAAGAGATGAGTTGAGAGTGACCAAGGTTATATTGGTTACATACAAACCAATAACAACAGCAACAATAATAATAATAATCGTAATAGTATTAATAGAAGTAGCGTCAATGCATCCGTATCAATTACGTATGACACTATAAATATCCATTCATTCTCCTTTAATTCCTCATTTTCTCTATAGACTATACCACTCGACATTCCGCAGACCGATCGTCCAGTTTTGATGGAACTCATTGAAAGTGGGATGGTGGTAACACTGAGAAACTCAAACACATAACCCACTTCCCTCTAGGAATCATTGAATGGGAGCAGCTCCCTAGTTAAAAGTCAATCCGAGATGAAGAAACAACGGTAGACAAGTTACTACTGACTTAACTTGACATTCTATTCTGGGGATCATCTAACTTGTCATCGGTCTTCTACAATGTAGTCAGTTTGTTTTGTATTTGTATTTGTATAACTTTTGCAAGCTTCATATGCTTAAATTTCAGTTAAAAATTATTCATTGGTAGTCAAACCAGAGAAAATATAGAAATACAGACAAATCCAATAGAGTACTGTGTAAAAACATTGTCTCCGAAGTTCTCCAGTAAAGATTGACGTAATTCATTTATAACTCGTTCTTTGTCCGTTCTTTGGTCAAGATTCCAGCCAAATATGGTACAGTGGAGTTCTCGTAGATGTTCATTCAAGAGGATAGGTACCGATAAGAGGAAAGAGTGATCGAGTGGGATCGACAAGAAGATAAGTCAAGATACAAAAGATGGGAAAGGTCTTTTAGAATCTTATAGGCAAAGGTCCTACAAGACTTACTATGATTAATGACTCGGTAGAAATTAAAGATACTCGGCTTATTATCATCAATACACGACGGATAGTTTTAAAATCTTGTTTCAATATACCGGGAAACACTACAGGACAACAATAAAGTAAAATAAGGAGAACAAAGCTTGTTGGGGAGTGCGAAATTGTCTGAGCTTTCAAATATCAAAGGAGAGGCCCCCGAAGTTTTCCCATACAATTCTGAATGTGTGTTAATCACCGAAGATTATTATCGATAGTAACACCGAGATATTTGGCTGAGGTCACTCTAGACAGAGTTACAATTAAGGGCGACAGAGACCAATGAGAATGTAGACAGGGAAGAACTAAAAATGAACTCTAAGCACTTAGATGTATTAAGATTAAGGCCAGAGTAGTTTGAAAACTGTTCGATTCGGAACAGATTTTCAGTGAAGGAGGAAATTCCGGAGAAGAAAAAAATGGTCTGACCTAAAACGACATCGTCAGCATGCTTTCGAATATGAGCCGGGTGTAGAATTAAATGATCACTAATGAAAGCAGAAAAAAGACACGTAGAGGACAGCATCTTGAAACACACCAGAGTTATTGACTACAGGACCAGCTTTGTGCGCTGGATTATTTCAGTGAAACAATCAGAAAGCAGTTGTCCCGGAATGCCAAAAGATTCAAGCTTAAAAAGATGGGATTACCGGGACACCGAATTAAAAGCAGACTAATGATCAAGCAAAACGCAACGAACAGATTTGCCCGAGCTGTTCAATGACTCGCTTATAAGATGAATCAGAGTAGACAAAGCATCGACAGTGGATCTGTTGGGTTTATACACAAACTGAGGAGGGTCATAAGGAATGGTAATAATTCTTTCAAATAGAGAAGAGCAGTAAACACTTTGTTTCCAATATGACTCCAAGTGTGGGCGGTTTTTCGACCTAGAAAAATGTTTTTAAATATTATCTATTTCATTTGTTTTTGTTCACTACATCTCGACATATGTCTAAAGCGTATTGTTTTCGGCTTAGTTTAACACGTAAAGAACGAGGTTCAATTCTACTCTTCGGTGTGTGACTGGTATTTTGGCAGTAAGTAAATATTTACTTTTCCAAAGTAGAAAAGCATCTGGTCAACGTTTACAAGTTGTAAAAAAGCGTGATTGTTGCCACAAAAATGTCGATAGAATTGAGTCCCATGTATACATGGATCTCAATAATCGAGAGCTGCATCAATCAAAACATGGTGAAGGCTGGTGTTTTGTGCCCNCCGACAGCCTTGTTCACTGACACATCTTGTTGGATCGCTTTCTTGTTGATTTTGTCAAACGGTTCAACCCGTTTACCTATCGCTATTGTAAGATCAACCGATCGTGCCGATTTCAAACGGCTCATTCCAACAACAACAACAGGCAATTGGATGATGTTTAAACATAGTGCTAAGGAAACAGCTGAATAATCCCTTTAGACTAACATGTTTGGGTTAACCCCTTTCGATTATTCAGAGACACCAGGCTCTCTTAATTGCCTGAACCATTCACACACGATGCTGACCCTCGACCGTGTAACTCAGAGGCAGGGGGATGNAGTCCTGAATCCAGTGTTCGCGGTTCCAGTCCTGACAGGGGCAGAAAAGATACGCACTGCTGACGAGTGCCAAAACAAGGCGAAACAGCTGTCAAGTACTCTTTGTCGGTCATCACAAATAATTCCATCGCAAGTGAATAAATAAACCCTCTTTTTACAACAATCATATAGCATTAAAATATATAGATAGTTCTTTACTGTTAAGTATCCCGTAGGATTCCATAGATTGTCTTTGATTGTTAGAAATGCTATTCGAGAGTCACTTTCGTTCAGCCTGATTGTTACTCTATGTAACCCCATTGAGTGCAATCACTGGTTGAGTGCTAGAATGCTTTTGAATTTCCGCACTAATCGAGTGGTATCGCTCAATGACAGGTTTGCGTTATCATATGCAAGGAGCCTCCTTGTCATCGAGACCATCATTCTGCCTGATATTGATGGAGATAGACGAAGATTTCCTTGAGTGCGTGAACAAACGAACAGCTGGTTTTCTTATGTGGCTCATTCGAGATCGAGACAATTTAAAGGATGACTAAAGTGTTAATCCATCTAATCGAAAACAATAAAATTATTCAGGCTTCTTAAAAGCCATCAGTATGTTGCGTGTTGCATGTTGCATTGACTGAATTTTGTTACTCCAGCTGGAATATGTATTTATCATTTATTAGTTACGAAGTTATTGTCTCGGAAAAGACAAATTAAAGATGTAGTTGCCCCTGTGATGGTGTTCGTGTCTCTCAAGTGCAGGAGGGCCATGGGTTCGAGTACTGTAATGGCAGGTGTCTACACTTCGTTCAGGAGTTCACATAGGTGCAAAACTTCAAACTAATTGTTCCTAATTCTATGGTTAGTGGATTGAACTAAGACAGGTACCTGAACATTCGGCTGAGTACCACCCACCCAACCCCCACCAACTGATTCCTACAACAGAAAATCAGACGAAATTTAAGTGAAACGTTCATAATATTTTCATGCTAGCTTGTAATTTTGACTCATATTAAGAAAAAATACCTAAATGTTCCATAGTCAGTCACACCGGTGATGATCCGTTTTATTTACAAGGCATTCACAGAATATCCAGCAACGCACACCTAGGGTTGTTAATGTTGTTTTTGTTTGAAAGGTGAAAACCACAAAAGAATACTACTATGAAAGTGTCGTAATACTGAAGAGAGTAGTTGGTATTTTTTCTCCGATTGCCACATGCATCGTAAAATAGCTTCATTAAGGTTTTAAATGTCTACTAAATTTTATATGCAATAAGAACCAGAGGTACACCTGTTTCGGATTGTCGTCCTATTTGTAAATTTGCCCCCAAATGTTTATTTTTAGGATACCACGTGGACAGAAACCAATTTGCAAGAGACAGGTTACCTCATCCAAAATTCACCTCTCATTCTTACACAATGTGAATTTCAAACGCCTAGTGCATAGATGGATGATAAGAAACTTGAACAGGCCAAAAGGGCTACCATCATAATGGGCTGCAAGCCCGTTCAAACAAAATAAGTTTTTTTCCGGGTATATATTTTTTGTATTCCCTTCGCACACTGTTGCTTGATTGAGTTAATTCTTCTGTTTCCATCGGAAGAAATTTTGTTTGTAGCAGTTTTAAATGTAACACCACAATGGACGGACGATTTATTACAACAGCCTCAGACGGGACATTGATTTTACTGTGCACGTAACTCGGTTATCCATCCAATTGAGAAGAGCCAGTTTGAGCGCGCGAGC